GGATTTAGGGTTTAGGGTCTCAGGGTTCGGATGATGAGAAGCCCGAAACTCCGGACCATGCCTGGACCCCCAAGTAGTCCCTAGTTCCCCCTTAAAGGAGACATATCAGAGCCCTTTGTAGGGTACCTGGGGCGGGTCCTGGTAAACCCAGCAGTGAGAAACGGGACCCACAAAAAAAGCTAAATCCCCGTAAAGCTAAGAACCCTAATGCGTGGGGCTGTCTGTGAAGGATGAGGGTTGGTCTCCCAGGCAAGGCTAAATCAGGGACCCCTTAATGAAGTTCAACATCTCACAGAATAGCCCTAAAACGAAAAGGCGTCCCTAAATCTGGGATCCACAGTTCTATGACATGGGCCGATGTGGGAGTAAAAGGGGATGAGGAACCCCATCTATTGTCTCAATCGTAGGTTCTGTTCTTGGCCCTCCAAAGACCCAAATCCCCGGCATCGCCCCCCGTCCTCCCATCAAAGAGCACCAAAAACGAGACGGGCTGCTAAAACCCTCCGCCCCACGCCCCTAAATGCTAGACATACCTTACGCCGCGAAGCCCCTGCGTTCAACCCAAAACCCGAACAACCATTCCCTAAGCCCTAAACCCTGAACCGTAAGCCGTAAAACCTAAACCCGAAACCCTAAAGCCATTTGCCTAAACCATATCAATCCTATACCCCAAACCCTGAACCCAACACTTATCATCCAAACCTTAGAGTTCATAAGCCGTGGTACATCGTAGCCCGATAACCCCCTAAATCCTGGAAGAACATATGCGGCTTCCCTAAGCCCTAAACCCTCAACCCTACAGTATATCCCTAAACCCTATAAACCCTAAACCCCTAAACCCTGAAGTATATCCCTAAACCCTAAACCCTAAACCCCCAAACCCTACAGTCTCCCTTTGTGACTTGACGCTTCAGCTCAGGAAGCCGCCATACTGGGAAGTCGACGCAAGGCCCAAGGAGGAGCTTCCAGCCGAGGACGTGCCAGGAGACTTCCGGGATCCTGATCTAAGCCAGCACCCCCCAAGTACCCTTTAATGGAGCCCTTATGGTCCTTAATAGTGGGTATTTAGGGTATAATAGAGGGTGCTGGAGGGCTCTTGGGTTTAGGGTATAGGGTTTGGGTGTTATAGGTGTTTGGTAAATAGAGAGTCCTGACGGTTTTTTTTGGCAGAAAAGATGAAATTACGGGCGCCATGACACTCCTGGTTTGCAGTAGACATGCGTTGAGCGCGCAAACATACGCTATAAGCATGTTCTATGATATATGAACATCAGTTTTCTAACTACGCCAAGTAGAAAGGTATGGTGTCTAAATAGTCGTACATGAAAGTGCGACAATATGTACCTTTAGCAAATGCTCAACATTTACTGGCACAGACAAGTTTGGGTCTCGGCAATGCGTGTCGGCAACAAGGACTTGTACGATTTGTTCCGGTAATATTGTGTACAGCAGTGGTATGTCTGACCTTTTACGGCAATGCGTGTCGGCAGCAATTGATTTAAAATTGACTATTTTGTCAGCTCGGGAATCTTCTGCAACCACAACCTCTTTAGCTGGATGGCCGTTACCTCAAGTTCCTGACCGCACGGCCCTTATGTGGAGTTTCCGACGACCAGGCCTAAGAAGGCTCTAAAATATGGACAGCAAGCCCTACGTCTTATCGGACCCGTGACAGAACCCCTCGTAGGATCCGATCCCTTATATCTCCGGATAGGAGCCCTGTCTAACCCGAGAGGCATCTTTATTTCTCGGAAGTTCGATACACCCCTCAACAAAGCCTCTCCAAGACTTTAGCTCAACCCTCCCAAAGCCCTCAAACCTTAAACCCCAGATGGGTAGTTCCTATACCGTACACCTAAAGCTTAAAACTCTGCACCCCTTATTATCACCCTATGCCCGAAACCCCAAACCCTTAAACCCTAAAGCCCGAATAGATGTAGCGGAAGGAGGGGCAGCGCGGATCTCCCGCTTCCTCCAAGGCTGGGTTGAATCGAAGCATGCAACCGGCCCCATGTGGGTTTCAGCTTAGGTTTGAGCCTTGTTTTTGGCTTGAACACCCATCAAAACGGAGCTCGACTTGGGTGTTTGGAAGTTGGATCTTTTTGGAGGTACCTTGTTTCTAGGCGTCAACGTAAAATCTGTATATAGGAACTTCACGATGTTCTTTGGGGTTTTGACTAGGCCAAAATGTGGTCCAGGGGCCTTCGTTGGAGGTTCACGCGTACGATTTCCGAGCAGAGCTGAGATCATTCAGAGAATAAAGAGCGTTGATCACAGGAATCCGAGAAAATTCGACACCAGGGAGGGAACTTCGATCTTAAGCCACGAAATCCTTGATGCAATGCGAAGCCCTGAAAAGACACTTTAATCAGAAACTCTATGCCCGAAATGTCCCTAGATGAAAATTGGGGCAGCCTTCCAGCTGCTGCGGGGGTGTGGCACAGAAGCGAACGCTGATAGAGATTCCACACAGCAGCATTCTGATCTTAGGTGCCCGCAACACAAGAACTTCTGAACTTCCAGAGCTCGCGCACGTCTAGGGTTTACAGTTTAGGACAAAGCACAGAAGCATGGCTGTAGCCTTGCGGAAGACATTCTTTCACCTGAAGCTACCATAGGCTATTGCACGCTTGACCATGCATCCAGCCTTAAACATCATTGCACCGTAAGCCGTAAAGTTCCAAAGCCGCAGACTCTTATGAACAGCTTCGGGGTCTTTGTCCTGTCTCTGGCCCTGTAAGCCCGTAACATCTCGAAACCTTTTCACAACTCTCTTCAGGAACTTATTCTTGGGAAGAGTATCCGCTCCTCTTTAGCGAGGCGCCTCGGGAGTGACAAAGACGTATCACATATCATAGTGGGATTATTGAGAGTGTGGCTGCCACAATCCCTTAAGGCGTTAGGAGAGAGCGGTGGCGTGGTCTACGTTGCTGGTGCCTTGCACAAATAGGCACTCTCGTGCCGTGCCGTGCATGCAATTCTCGGTACTTGATTGAGCTTCTGGTATACATGAAAACCTTCAAGTGGGCCGTTTTTGGTAAGCAGAA